CGACTGACCAAACTGTTTACATTTTGTATACGTTACGTTTTGTGTTTAAGTTATATTTTATGTTACTTTCAGAGCTTTCCACTGGTACAGGTCGTAAAGAGAATAGAGAGAAACATCTGGCCAATTATATAGATTGAAACTGGCAACCACAAGATTCCGCCGCCGCAATTACTTTCAACGGCCACACACCGTCGTCACAATGGAAATCATAAAAATAAAATGACAATGTCCGAAATTGACAAGTTTGATTACATAACCTTCGTAACATGATCACAGACATGTTTTCATTAACGTGCGTATAAAGGGATAACTAGAACAGCTGACGTCTATGAGAATCAAATGTCCATCAATCAAAAAGACAGACAAATAATCATTCACTCATTCGATTAATACAAAACCAGCCAAAACGAGGACGTGCACTGAAGAAAGGCAATGCCGCTGTACTCACCGCATAAACAACGTTTGTCGACGATCGCCTTGTTCACTGCCGGAACGTTGTCGAACAGCCATCGCAACTTCAGGGCGCTGAAGTACGGGTTCACTGGAAGCCCGGTGACCTTTTTCCAGTGATCCTTGCCTTCGTTTGGAAACTGAGCACAGATAGACTTGGCTAAGCCCTCGGTACGAATGTCGCTCCAGACGATGGCATTGTACAACGGAGTGCCGGTGGTGCAATCCCAGGCGATGGTTGTCTCACGCTGGTTAGTGACGCCGACCGCTTTGATGTCGGACATCTCGTAGCCGTACTCGGCCAGTTTGGCACAAGCTTTCTCGATGCAGCTGCGGGTGTCGTCCAACAATGCGACAGGGTCTAACTCAAACCATCCTTTTTGTGGATGCAGAGGAGTGGTGGCGATCTGGTGATGACAAATCGCATTTCTTGTCACACTGTCAAACAACATAAACCTAGTGGAGCTAGTGCCTTGGTCGATGGCTCCGATGAGAGAGTGTTTGCCTTCTTTCATAGCCGCCTTGATTACGTCTGCCTCAGAACCCTAAAATTCAATCTTTCAGAAAAAAAATTATAAAAAAATCTAAACTTTGGTTTAGCAAAAGACATGACTCTTCGATGTCGACAAAACCCTATTACGTTACATGCACAGATCATGAATCTACAGATTTCATAAGTATTCGCTATTCGTGCAAGAGACTAACATACTCACTGTAGTGTGTTCACGACAGTCGCCGTTTACAAACAAGATTAACCGCTGTTCTTCCAGTCATCCTAAAACCGCGGATTCCTGGAATTTCACCGTTACTCTTTTTTCGCTACGCTGCCCATTACAACCTCTATGACACAAAACTAAACTCTGAAAATACTCTTAGACCACGTGCCAAATACTCACAGCTCAAAGGGTAGTTTAGCACATTAAACAACGACATGTGCGTCCACGGGTTTTCGTCTGCAACACAACGAAGACATCTGCTAACCGTTAACCGGACAACGCAAACACGTCCAACGATAGTACAGCAGTGGCAAGGAAATGGCTAATAATACATTAGTAGTACCCACTATCCAAAAACGAATTTATCTTCAATGAAGAATCAGGTAGTATCTGCGATTCATTGAAGATGCTTGCCCCAGACATATCATGTTTTGTTGTTCGATTCACAAGCACCGATGTATTGAAATGTTTTCATCAGCTTAATTCTTGTGGTCTCTATGCTTCCACACTAAGGTGATTCGTTCTGTCACCATACCGCTTCATAGAAATTTGTCACTGGCAAAATTACTCCTCAGCCCAAGTACAAGCACAGTTCGAGAAACTTCAGCAACTTCCATCCTACTGACATTCTTCCATTCTTTCAAAATTCGTCGA